ATATTTCGTTAAATTGAAAAGAGCATGTGAACCAAATAGATGGACCAGTTAATGAATGAGTAAGTGAACAAATAAATAAATAAGTAAATAAGTGATTGTTTGACTGATTGATTTTTGATGAATTATGAATGTGAAAAACAAGAGGTTGAATGGATAAATTGATGCTTGAGAGAAAGGGTAAAAAACAAACAAGTACCGAAGGTAAGATCAACTGACTGTGAGTACCTGGGTCATGGGTTTCCTATATAGAATCTTTTGAGAGATTTTGACTAGGCTATCACTCGTACGCCTTCTTACATAACCTCATAGTAATCCGAGCATCAATTCTCAAACTTTAGCCCAACCGTACTCTCTACCGTACTCGGGGATGCCAAGCGGTCAAAGAGTACGGTCTGGGCTGGGGTTTAGTCAAATTTTTTGTTACCAAGTGGCTGCTTGGACAGTGACTTAGCAGTAAAAGCTGTTGTGAAAGCTAACCAAAAGAAGGCCATTTGGTTAGTTTTCACAACAAAAGTCCATTCAATGGAATTCGACTAGACGCTTTCTTTGATTGTCTGGAAGTGAGCGAATAGCTATTTTGTGAAGAAAGATTACGAGCTTTCATTTCCATTTTGAGGAAAATTATCCAAAAAGAATTACTTCCAAAGGAGTGAAGACATCATTCATGCTCTGAATTTTTTGTTGTCCTTGAACCATTTTTGAAGTGAGAAAAAAATAAAAATTCCGCGGCAAGAAATTATTGGATATCCTGGAAAAAGAATTTTTTATTTTGACATGAAGGTACATAATTTTCATGATTTCTTACCTATAATTAGTATATCCTTCCGTTTTTCCCTCATGAGAAATAACCCCTCCCGGCTGCTGCCAATTTTCAGAAGTCAGTATATTCTGAAAGCGCTTAGTTCCGAGCCCGTCATATCTCTTAAATATCTCGGCTGTCAGCTGATTTGCATGAAAAATTGACGAATCGCTGCTGTGGTCGAAGAGGGAGAGAGGGAGAAGCCAAGAGAGCCTTGATATGCTCGGTTTTTCTCCACTCAGCTTCTCAAAGCAGTAGAATGGAGGGCGTGACGTTTGTGCAATGGGGCTCATATGACATGCATGCTTTCGAGGCAGAGCCGTTGAACGATTCTGTGCTGGCAGCCTAAAAGGCCAATAAAATAAAAGCTGGAAAAAGTTTGAATTTGCTTTCTTCCGCAGCCGCATATCCATTCAGGGTAATGCAGCTGCTTCGGAAGAGGAGAGCTAGACTATTTCTTTGCATTAATCTCATTCATTTTGGGTTCGCTCAAGCCCTTCAATTTCATTTTGCCTTCGTTTCGTATTGCTTATTTTTTTATTATTTTCCTTTAGTCTTGTTAGTGAGATTTTGAGCCATTTTCCATCTTCTGGCTCATTTCCATGTTTATAAGAGTCGCTTTTCCGCGTTCGAATTGAGAAAGCTGTATTTCATGTTTTCGAAGTGCCATATCGGTCATGTAATCTGAGTAGGCTAAAAAATTGCATTTGCTTCATTACTGCTCAATCCGCTTCGTTGATTGCATGACATTTTCAACATCTTGTCATGCTCTTGTAAACAACTTTATGCGCTTCGGACATGTGATAGGCTCTATTCGAGGAAAATATTCTTTTTTGAGATGTAGACAATTCTTTGACGAAAACTAGAGATCAGTCAGTTTTCTTGAATTCGAAATGCTGCGAACCATATATTAGGTTTGCCCGAAAGTTCGTTCGCAACATTTTCAAAAATTCAAAACTTCTGGTTTTCTCAACGGATTTGCGTGATTCTATTTTTATTTGAAAGAGCAATTCATTCTCTTCATAGCGGCATCATAGCGCGTTCTATTGGGCATAGATATAAGCGGTAGATGAAAATTACTCAAATTTTGAATTTTCCGTGTAGGGTCATAAAAAATCTGGAGCTTGCGATAAAAATTGGAGTAGTCAGTATTATAGGTTCTCTTACAAGCTCTTTCTAACTGTGCAAAGTTTGTACTGATTGAGCGTCTTTATGAAAAGTTATGATTGTCGGGAAAAATGCCAAAATAAATCAAATTCGCCCTTTTGTATTTGCTTGCGCAAAAATCATAGTTTTCGATAGAGACGCTCAATCGGCACAAACTTTGCCCAGTTAGAAAGAGCTTTTAAAAGAATCTATAATAATGACTGCTCCGATTTTTAGCGCAGGCTTTAGATTTTTTATGAACTACACAGAAAATTCAAATTTGTGTAATTGTCATCTACCGCTTATATCTATACCCAGTAGACACTATGACGCCGCTACGAAGAGAATGAATTGCATCTTTCAGATAAAGATGGAAACATGTAAATCCATTGAGAAAACCAGAAGTTATGGTTTTCTGAAAATGATGCGAACGAACTTTCGGGCCAACCTAATAGGTTTTTGGTGGATCTTATTACTCTCATTAGCAATGTATCAAGAATAGAACTGCTTGGGTTGAAAACAATTTTTTTACATTTCAACCAAAACAGATCCACTTTTAGATGACTGTGGAAGTATTTTGCATATTTCGTAATTACCCGACTTTTAATTTCTAATTTTGTTTTTAACCAACGTTGTAAAATTGTGCAGTACAACGTTTTTTTTTCAAGATTGCGGAGGTGAATCTGGTGTGTTCTTCCATTTTCTTTTTTTCTGCATTCGCTAAAAGTCAATACGAAGATCTTGCTGCCCATACAGAGGGAATTCCACTTCCTTATTGCCGCACATTCTGGCTAATGTTCCGAAAGGTTTATGAGGCCTCTTGAAAAGTTTAATCGTCTGAGTTATGGTATTATTATAATAACTTCCGTTTCGTCCCTGTGGACGGATAGTCCCGGTTCTCAGACCTCAACTGAATCCAAGAGGAGAAAGGATTTATAATGGTGCAGGGTACTTTTATGGAGAATAAACAAACAGTAAGTAGTGTTCCAAATGACTTTCAGTAAAAGCTGTGAATTTTTCTGCTTCTTTCCAAATCCTTTTCGCAAAATACCTAATATATTAACGTAATATGCATTCAAAAATCATCAAACAGCGGGAAACCGAGCGGGTCCCGAAACGAGCGCGCCTGCTAGACCTGCTAGACCTTTGAGATTACTGGTTCACCAGTTCTAATCCCGTTTCCGAAATTTTTCTTCTGATTTTTTGGTCTGCCCGCTTTACAACTTCAATTGGATAAATAGAATTTCTTTTTTCGACTTCCTGACGTCATGTCAAAATCTCACAAATTGTCTATTGTATCGTGTTTCCGCGGCAAGTAGTCACCACAGACATTGCCCTTTTGTCGGCGCATGCTCGTTGTGTAGAGTGAAAGTACATTTTCTATTCTATCCCTTAACTCAAGGCTCTAAGCTGCTAAAAATAACAATTCGGCTTGTTTTGCTTCCTTCCAAGCTTCCTCTGTGACGCAAAAGCCCCATTTCTTTCAAAACCGCTAATTTTACACTTCTTTTCCTTGTTGAAGTTGTGCCCTTTAGCCCCACGATGTGATTGGGAGATTTCAAAACTCAATGACAAAATTCCACATATGAGGTGAATCCTCACTTCTCCCCTCACACCCCCCCCCCCCCGCCGTTGGTGGCAGATTGAATTTCTCCTCCTCATGCTCCTTGTTGCCATTCATGCGCTTGAAGGAGATTTTTGCTATAATCGTCTATAAGAATAGGCCCCAAATGCAACTGAACTCCCTAAGTGACAAATTTCTCTCTCCCGTCTACAATTTTTCATGTGTGCTTAACCTTTCTTATCCTTTATGCTCGGTCATGATGTCACCTTGTGATAAAAACTGCATCCTGAGAATCGTACAAGTCGTGAGGGTTGTAATGAGAAGGGGATATTACCGTTAAACCTGTTCATAGTAAGTGGTTCCGTAAAGTTACAATTTTGTAAAGGCCCCTTTGGCATAAAATAGCAAGTTTGGCTCAAAAATCCTCAAAATGCGACAATTTCGCAATGACAATCCAATGACTTTATGATGAAAACGAAAATAAATGTATGGTAAACCTATCTTGTTCGACAATATTGTACAAAAAATACTTGATAACACGATTGCTAATAATTTCTTGAGAAGAGGGATTTTTTTTATCACAAAATTATTTTGCACAAAGTTTTCTGCAATTGATGCAACCTTTGGAATAGATGAATTTTTTTGAGGACACAGATTTGAACATAGCTTTTAGGGAAAGTTTTTGGTTTGCGCTATAATAATTTATCTCGTTACGATAGGTATCAAATAAGAGGCCAAATGTCACTAAATAGTTGGATCATCCGCCACTATAGAAAACTAGCTGTGTTGCCCTTACCGTATACCTACCGTATCACGAGATCAAAGTGATGCAGTATACCGAAGGAACAACGAATGATGGATTTTTGCTTTCTGTTTTGTGAAGTATATGGTGGAGGAAGACGAAGCAATGATAAGAATATTTAGTTTTATCTGGAAGTCAGTGTTTTTCTTGCAGAGATCAGTGAGTGTCATACTGTAGGGAAGAGAATTGTACTGTGGTGTACTGTAATGAGTAAGTAACCTTTTATTTAACTGGCTTGGCGACTGGAAGGCGGGGCGTTGTGACTTAATTGAAGCCGCTCGCGCCCGCGACGCAGTCTGCGCCTCACCCACGCGCGTGCTCTCTGATCATCACTAAGCTGTAATCAGGTCGCGAAGCACCGCCTTCCAGCCGCCAAGCCAGTTGAACTAAAGGGTATATCATTTATGCAAATTTGGTGCATTGAAAACCCCTACAATTGAAACTCTCAAAGTTCCTTTAAATTATTATTTTGTATGAGTCTCTTTTACCGTATTCTTACCGTATCTTGATGGTGCGAATGTTGGGTAACTGTTGCTTATCTTCATTTTTTCCAGTTTTCGAATCCCTAATCTTTCCTTTCTTTTCCTGTTCTTCCGCTCGTTTTACAGCTATACGACTGTTAGTCCTTGTCCGAATTCCGAATCGCATTTCAGCGCAAATCGTAAGCGGCTACACAGTCGAAAACAAATTTAATCTAATAAATTCAGCAAACATCTGCGCCAGTGACCGACGCTGATTCGCCGAAGCGCAGCCGCAGCAGCAGCAGCAGTGTCGATGCCGGAGTCATCGTTCAAACGAACGATCCTGATTACAGGATCAACAGACGGGATTGGAAAGCAAACTGCTACTGATTTAGCTGCTCACCCGGATAATAGGGTGATTATCCATGGCCGAAGTGAAGAAAAATGCGAGGTAAATTTTTTTTGAGTTTTCCAGCCATTTTTTTGTTAATCCTATATTTTTTCTAATTATTTGGTTTGAGGTGCATGAAGCTCAAGAATTGTCTCAGTTCTTATACTAAAAAATTGAAGTTCGTGGTTATTCTGATTTTTTGGCCAATTCTTTGCGAAAAGTGTTTCAAACCTCTTTTTGATTTTTTTGTTTTTATTTTTGATTTCTGATTTTTTATGGCCACTCTTCTGGGGGTTCCAGTATGTTTCGACTTCTATCTTTTCGATCAGATTTTCTTTACCCATCTCGAAAAAAATTATCTATTCTGGAGAACTTCAAGCAATTTTTTCTAATCATGATATTTGAAACTTTTGGAGGTTGTGGTAATTTCCTCGGGATATTTCTGACCATTCATTTGGTTGCGAATATCATTGAATTTTTTCGGCGTTATTGTGTTTTATCTGAATTAATCCGAAGAAGAAGCTCCAGGACTTTCCCCAATTGTGCCGAAAACCTAGCTTTAGAGGCCCTTTTCATTTCTGAAAACATTTACTTGTAAATATATCTGAAATTTTGGCAATTTTTAGTTCGTATTTTTGACCTTTTTCACCATTTTCTGCTTGACTATTTATGATGTCGTTATCAGCACTGGATGACACGAAAAAATTTCCAAATACTCATGATAAGTCTACGTCATTTCATTCTTGGAATTACTTCAACCGACGAAAAAATGTTTCCTTTTTTCAGGCAACACGGGACCACATTATCAAGGAAACTGGTAATCCATCAAATGTCGATTATATCGCTTGTGATCTATCCATAATGAAAGAGGTAATTTCCTTATTGGTCTTTTAAATCACTCTTTTTGGCTATTCTCTAGCTTTTCTTCCCAGATTAGCTTAGTGAAGACTCTTCAACTAGATTCAATTTCCTCCCACGCCCCGTTCGTTTGCATAACTAGCTGCATTGCTAAATCTCAAAGAGCTAGATTATTTTCGAGCAAAGATCTTTCTTTTTTGAGGAGAACGCCGAAAACAGTAAAAAGAAGCTTATATGAACTAATCTTCAGATAATGGCTTGTTTTACTTGCAGGTAGCCCATTTTGCCGATCAAGTAAAAAGCCGGTTTCCTGACCTGAATGTGTTGTTATGTAATGCGGGTGTGCTCAATCCGCGACGAGCTGAGACGAAGGATGGCCTGGAAATGACGTTTCAGGTTTGGCTAGATCTCAGCTAAATAGATGGAAAGGCTCTTGCAACCTTATGTCTGTGGTCTGTGTGGTCCCCTGCTTTAATGAGGTTTTCAAAAAAAAGTCGTTGAGAGAAAAGGAAATGCAAAATATAATGAATGGAAATTGGTAATGGGAAAAAAGGTCAAACTCCTTCCATATCGGTGTATTCATGCCTAATGTCCATGGAAAGTTATTCGATCACCAATATAAATTTGAAAAATTTGAGAAAGGAAAATAACATTTATATCAAATGGTGTTATCCTATTCCTTAGGCGATTTAAATTTTGGCCCTCTTATAATTTTGTCAGTTAGGAGGCCTGTATTATTAGATTTAAGTCGAAATTGTGAATCTTTATCTTTTTTTTTTATTTGTCTCATGAGTCGTGCTTTTTGGTTATTTTAAGCTAAGCATAAAACTCGTTTTTTAGAAAAATTCTTCCCATCAGGTTTTCATCTGCATCTGCTTTTCTTCCAGCTTTTAGAGCTTACCCTACTGTAAGCTAATCTCATTATACACTGGGCCAGCACAGGTTTTTAGTTCATATTTACATAATGTCTACTGCACACTGGACGCTTGAGTGTTCTATGGCTTAGGCCATGTTCCTTTGGAATTGCTCATTTGCGACGGAACAAGAGCGGGTGGAGAGAATAGGAGCTGGTGCCAGAGCATTTCGTATGTGCTTCAAGAACCAGTACTGATGCTTTTGCAGAACTTAAAATTTCTTTGTTTTTTTTTTGCGAATTCACCCATAGAAAATGATTTATTAAGCCGTTTTTGGCTCGACCTAGGGTCAAAAATGTTGTAGAGGAAAGACTGGTCTCGAATTTACTTTGATATAGACTTCGAGAATTTTTGGGAAAGGACTAAGGTTTACCTGAGTGCAAATGAGCCAAGTAAGTCAAGCGAATAATCTATTGAGTCCGGTTCAATAGTACTTTTTGACCAAAAACATATATGAAGCACATACCTTGTTGTGTTCCGTGAAGACCTTTTCCAAAAAGGGGAAGGTGGAGGGGGAAAGATGACAGAATTTGTTATCGAGCAGAGGGCCAAAAATTCAAATTACTACCAAAATAATTTTTCTGGATCGTGGCTGCGGCAATATTTTTTTTTGAAATAGGGTCAGGAAGGAAAAGATCAGCTCCACCTACCGTAAAATAATTTATGAGAAGCTTTTCCCTAAGCCTTTCTGCCTCAGAATTTTGAAAAAAAAATAAGACTTCTAAGCAGTCATGCTCCAAAAAACTTTTCACAAGACTAATTTCTGATTTTTCGTAAAAATTTTTGGAACTGTACTGCAGAAATGGGTGTGGTTACGTGTGTCATCACAACATTTATCTAAAACGCTTCAGAAATATCTGCGCTTCCAAGAATATCGCTTGGAATGGTAATACGGGGTTTTTTCTAACAAAAAAATCCGGATTCAGTTCGTTTAGGTGTAGGATTCTATAACATTGGTAAAAAAGGTTCATGAAACTAGTAGTTTAGCACAGGAATTTTATTGAAATCGGATCAGGTTATGGAGTTTTTTTTTTTGAAAAAAAAACTCGCCCAGCACGCATCCCGTGCTGGATATTGACCATGCTCAATTTGCTTTTCATTTCGTGCCGACATTCCCGACATGCCTAGGCTTTGTTTTCCACACACATTACGGAATGTTTTCGCGCTGTGCAACATGTAAATCGGCCAGCTAGCATGGATTGTGTATGAGGGCTTGTTTTCGAAAAATATGCGAGTCACACAATTAAGCAGCTACCAGTTCGGCTCCTTAGGGTATTCAGCTGTTTGGAAAATTTTGTTTGTTCCGGACAACACAGCCATTCGATCCAGAAGCGGAGGAAAAGACGAGCATTTGCGCGAGCCGGGGAAAGGGAGGGAGGGGGGGGGGGAGGTGAAGGTTTTGCGATTTTAGGCGGGGGAATAGGATTTTCTAGAATTCAGAATTCAGACAGTCTCGTTTTAGCGTTGCAGAGAATCTGGGAGGGGGGGGGGGTGGAAATTTGGCGCGGAATAGCTTATGGTGGGCTGGATAATCAAAGTTCTTATTCGTATTTTGTATTCGCGCGGTAGCTGATTCAGGGGGGGGGGGGGAACAAAAGAGTAAAAATTTTGCGCCATATGGATGAGGAAACAAAGTTTCCAGAATTCATCTGCTTTAGGAAGGCGCGAATGGGAGTTCGGAGGGGGGGGGGAGGGAGGGAGGAATGAAAATTTGGCGCGAGATTGGAGAATGGGCTGGGAAACGGAATTTTCCTAAAAATCAGATTTTTGCTTTTGTTTCATGGTTCTTGCTGTGTTGTTCGAATGTGTTTGTTGTATTGTGCATTTTTGCGTGCATAGTGTCGTTTCATATATTTTTGAGATTTTTTTGTATATAAAAAATTTCAGAATACTTTAGGTGAACTATCTTTCACACTTTATCCTATGTAATCGACTACTGGACACACTTGAACGAAATAAACACGGCCGAATCATTGTAGTCGGCAGTGTATTGCACAGCTGGTCAGTTATATCGTTCCATAAAACTTTTTTGCTCATTTTACCAAGTTTCTATTCGCGTTCTATGTCCCTCACTAAGCCCTATAAAAATTTTTTTTATTGACTCACCCATCAGAATCCTCCTGATTGTCTTTATTCACCACGGCAACGTCATTCGACCCAATTCGCTCAATTTCCAAAAGATTAAGCAGTTGAAAGGAGCCACCCCCTTCCCCCCCCCAATCCCTCCAGCTTATTGACTACAAGCTTTTTTCTCCTTGAAATCTGCCAAGCATGCTTTATGAACAATCTAGAGTAATAATGGCGAGGGATGAGGGATTTATGATTTTTCTGCCTTATTTTGCCCCTTTTTTATCCCCTCAAATCAAAATTTTCTAGGACAGCCCTGGATTGGTCGGATGTGATGGCCAAAAAAGACTACGAGAAGTACTTGGTCTATTCTCGTTCCAAGTTATGTCTACATCTTATGGCATTCGCACTTCACAGACGAATGAACATTGCACGACGGAATCTGGCTGTGAATGTGGTTGAGCTCGGAAAAGAACGTGAACCCAATAACAATGGCAAGATGTGAGTTTGATGAGTGGAAAGTGGTATAATTTCCTCTGGAAAATTGTGGCTGCGGGATAATGGACATGATGGAAGAAAAAGAAGATTAGGCTGCCTGAAATGGATATAATAGTTTTCGTCAAGGTGATGCGATGTGATTGGTATGCTAGGCAAGCTGAATATAAATGCTAGGACAGAGGTAAAGGGGGGGGGGAGGAGAAGAGCTTTGTAATTTGGCTTGTGAAATACGAAATTTTGCACCAATTTTCGAACTAATATTAGCTTTTTGACTTCGCAACCAAGTTGCATGGTTATAATTTTCAACAGGAATGAATGCTCTTGGAGAAGAATTTTACCAGTTTTCTACCGAAACTTATGTTTAGAACCGTAGAGGAACGAGATCGATCTTTTTGAAATTTTATCTCCAAAAACTGGAGGTCATGTGAAATCTGAAACAATTAGTAGAGTTATTTCACCAAAAAATTAGCCAGAAGGCGTTTTAAGAAAAATCAAAGATAGAAAAGTAGAAAAAAAAGCACAACGGAGTCGTTACAATCAGCAACCTAAGTTTCATAGCCTAATCTACAGAAACTGAAGAACAGAAAGCTCTTTTTCTGAAAATTGCAGCGATAAAAACTCCTGGATAACCTGAATTTCAAATTTGGAATCTACTGCTTGTAGAATTTTGCCCTGATAATGTTCTTGATTCGCGATAAAATTTGCTGAAATTTCCTAATAAAGTTTGATCTTGCTTACAGACCTTACCCAATCAAAAATTGATAAAATTCCTTTTGGAATAGTTTATCATCCAGATGTTTGAGTTATCAAGTGTTTTGTCGTCCCTGCAGGTATCGCTCTTGAATTTTTATAGAAACGAAACAATCCGAAAAATCGGCTTAGCGAGACTGGAATATCTCAATCAAAAGTTTTGCGGTTTTTCCCAAAAAGAAACCGTTGAAATTGTGAAAATCACCCAAAACTTTCTCTCCTGTTGCTTCGAAGATGTTTAACAAAATTAGTTTGAGGCGCTTGTCAGTGAGTTGGCTTGAATTGTCGGCGTCTTATCAGAATTCAAATTTTTGAAAGCAGACGGAAAATGGTAGTGTGTTTGTAATTTAGATCTTTGCGAATATCATTTGTGTCATTTGTGAGAGCAGAGTGGTGATGGAATTCTATGTATTCTTTTGCGAATGAAATTCTCTATGCTTTGATGTTTTTAGATTAAACACCATTATATCTAAAAACATTCTGAATGTAGACTTTTTAGATCTTTGCTCATTTGAAATTTTTTTAGGCGAACGACATCTGCGCTGTCGAGTTCGATGTCAACATTATCAATGTGTCGAGCGGCTGGAAATTTGGTGCAATTGATTGAAAATCCAGCTTTTGAAAACCTCTCAGGGAAATACTTGGATTCAACAGGAAAACAGATCAGGTACCTCATAATTCTACTATTTTAATGAATTTTGTCGTCCAAAATTTTTTTATATTGAGACCATAAAAGGCCTTTCATGGACATAACATTTTTCTTTTTGTCATATTTGACCATAATAGCTGTCGTTTTATGGTTGGTCTTCAAAGCCTCTTTGACGTAAACCATGAAAGCATAAACTGAGTGAAATTTGACTGCGCCCGGCAATGCTCCCATCTTTTGGAATAAATAGGATTATGACGCAAATCAAATCCAATTTATGCTAATGCACTGGGCGCTGGTCAAACAGCGTCATCTCATGGGCAAATTTTTATGGAATCATAGAGATTTTCATTGAATTTGCCAGTCCGGTCGTTCCATTTTAATAGCATTCACGGTCGAGGGAACAACGGCCGCATCGTCGCCGTTGTATACATCTGGCTTTGCACATCGGCAACATGCCTATACATTCATCGATGGGGGAAGGGGGGGGGGGCTAGAGACTACTAAAGCGATGAATGAATGGATTATGGAATGCACAAGGGGTTTTTCCGCACTTATCGAGAATTGACTGCAAAGAGCAGCGAGCAGAGCGAAAGGTAAATTGTTCGGCGTACACCTTGGAGGGGGGGGGGAGGATGAAATTGGGGAACACAAAGTTGTTGGCTGCGAGGTTTTAGTGTGGATCTGAGAAAAAAGTAATTTCTTTTGATTCAATCGACTTTTATTATCGAAAAAAGCATCATCATGAGTTATAGCAGCGGGATTCAAAAATATTCCTTGCGTCGTGGCATAAGAAATTCGGTTCTTTAAATCCTGATAGTTTTTTGATGAAATAGCAAATATATTGATCTAAGGGTCAAAGAAATTGAACAATAGCGATGATCAGTCATGAA